CATCTTTTGACATGTAAGAAAGTACAGGAAATCAAAAAGGACATATGGAGCCAGGTCCAAGACAAGCTCATCAAGACATGGATACCTTAACAGATAAATAAAAAGGAAGACACAAATATCATGGCAATAATTGAACTAGTAAACAAATGGGAAGTCGAAAAGTCTGATTTGGCCAAAAAACTGATCAATATAGTCATTGGCTTCTGGACAAAAGAAGATTCAAAAGAATGGACTAATCTACTTCGACCCATGAAGATTTCCAAGATTCCAGCTAGAAGAATTCTCAATAAAATTTCGGACTTTTGGTGTAAGAGAATTAGACAACAAATTTGGAACCCAAGGTGTGAAAAGGTACAAGAACACAAAAAGCGCTTTTTGGAAAAGGGTAAGGGCAAGGCCAGTTCCTCCTCTAACCAAGACCCAAGCCATCTCCAAAATCCAAAAAGAAAAGGAAAGAAGACTCACTATCAAGATTCACTAGGATCCAAGTCAGGAGAATTCTCCTCAACAAAGACCGGTTCAGATTATATATCAGGAATTGCAAAGGTGTTATGGAGCAAAATCAAAGAAGGAAAAAAATGGTTAGGAATATAACGTAATCAAGATGTTGCCAAGGTGAACTGTAGTGATGAACTGCAGGCAATGAACTTGAATTTTCCCAGGAATGGAAAATGAAAGGGAGCAACTTTATTCATCTCCAAAATCATATCTAGAGGTTAATAGCCAAAGACAGGTATTCAAGTATAAGTGATTAGTTTATGCATAAATGTCTGTAAACAATTATGTCTTCTTTTACAAGATTAAATAAACACAATAAATACTTGTTTGATTATGGAAAAAAAAAAAAAAAAAAAAATAGTTGTTTTTATAAGGGATTATAATATAAAATTATTAATTTTAATAATTTAGATATTAGCCTAATTAATATTTTTTTATTTATAGAACTCAAAAAAAACTTTTTCTACTTTTAGTTATATTTTTGAAAAAATATTTTTATAAAAACTTTATTTTATCTTTTATTTCTTTTGAATTTAATTTATAAACTGCTTTATCTTTATCTTTTATATTCTTAACTAATCATAATTTTTGTTTTTATAAACTTAATTAATCATTAATCTTTGATACTTTTATAATTTTTGATATAAACATTTTTAAAATTTTTAATATATTTATTTTTAGCATTTTTATAATTAAATTTTAAAAGTTTTTATAATATTTTATATTTGTATAAAAAAATTTCAAAATACAAAAAATAATATTAAAAAAAATAATAAAAATAAAATAATAAATTTATTTTAATAAAAAATAATTAATAAAATAATTAATACAAATATTTTAAATAAAATATATACTTTAATTAAAGCAAAGTTTTCAAATAAATAAATATTTTATATGGTTTATAAAAAAAAGAAAAAAAAAAGATAAGTCAAAATTTAATAGATTTTATAGTAGCAGAGAATTAAATTATAAAATATTTACAATTATATAATTAAATTGATAAATATATTATGAAATAAAATAAAAAATAGTTATATATAATATATTTAAGATTTTGTTAAGATAAATTTGTAATAATAAACTACAAGCAATAAATTCAAGTTTTTTTAAAAAAAAAAAGAAATAAAAAAAAAACAATTTTATTTATTTTTAAGATTATATTTAGAAGTTAATTATCTAAAATAAATATTCAAATATAAAAAAATTTATTTTTATATAAAAATATATAATATATACATTTATTTTTTTTTTTTAAGATTAAATAAATACAATAAATATTTGTTTAATTATAAAAATAAAAAAATAAATAATTTAATAATTATATTATAATTATTTATATTTTTATATTTTTAATTTTATAATATTTCAATTCAAAATTTTTGTATATTGTTTTATTTAAAAAAAACAAAAATAATTTTTATTTCTAATTTTATTTTTAATTAATAACTAATAAATAAAATATTATAAATAAATAAATATATAAATATATTTGAAATATAAAGAACAAGTTTACTTAATAAACTTTTTTAAAAAAATAAAAAAATTAAATTTATTGCAAAAAATAAATAATAAAAAATCATTAAAATTATTTCAATATATAAATTTGTAAATAAGAATATATTTTATAATAAAATTGATTTTTTTATAATTTTTTATTAAAGAATTTTTAATTTATCTAACAATTTAATTAAAATTTTATATAAATTTGTTATAATAAAAATTTATTGTTTAAATACATATATTTTATATTCTAGTATTAATTATATAATATAAATTTATATTTACTTTTATTAATAAAAATTATTAAATATATTTTATATTTTATTATATATTTTTGAAAATATCTCAGAAGTTATACTATAATAAAGAATTGAAATTACACATAATATTTTTATTATAAAAATGAGATTACTTTATACAGTATATTAAATATTGTATTATATACTGTAAATCTTATACTGTAAATTATAAATTATACAGGTGTGTATATTCCAACCATTCGAATATTTAACAATACCGATGTCATACGTTCATAGTGTACAAATACGCCAATGACAAGTTTTGGCTACGATGAAAAGTTCTCCTTTTTAAAAACTTCTGTTGCTTAGGACTACATCACAAAATAAGTTCGACGCGTTGATGAAAATAATAAGCTATACTATCTTGAGGATTTTAGAAAAGTTCTATTAGATATAGCTTTGCCAAATTTAATGATATACTTGTCTGCGAAACATAATAAACAAAGATTTTGTAATAGATCCGAAATAAATTTTTTGTATCCATTAATTACCGCTTATAACTAAACTAGCTTACTATTGCATAACCTTTTTCATGTCTAACAATCGCCGTAAACTTTCTTTTCGAAGTAAAGAAACAAGCTACAATGATTCTGCGAATACAAATGGCGGTTCCCTTAGCAATGGCTTCAATTCTGTTCGGGGAAGCATCCGGCGATTACGTCGCGTCTCAGGTGCGACAACTCCCTTAAATCCTAGTTCCAATTCCTCTGCCTATCAAGAAACAGCACCTTCGCAATCTTCCGCTTCTCTTTTTCCTCGTATCCAATCCATAGCCAGCATTGCTCGGGAACAAACCTCACGTTTAAAAGAGATAAATATAACGC